CGTTTCTTGTATTTCAGAAGTCCTTGATTTCCAATTTTCGATCGCCAAAAAATTAAAAACAAAAAACTTGAGCCTGGACTCTTGTTCAAGAGGTCTGAATTAGTAAAGCGAACAATTTCCAGACAAATCGGAATCAGTTTGATATGGATTAAATCCTGATTTTTTTTTAATTTTTAAACGACGAGACCCATTCAACAAACAGATTTCAATTTTGACAGCTCGTAATTCCGGAACGACATGAGATACAATATTCCGGTTTTCACTGTTTGATTTCTTGGATTTTTTAGTCCAGTTGGTTGGTTTTCAAGCCGAATTCTACATCTACAATATATTGGACGGTGTCGATTTTCGAAAGTGCCAGTTATTAAGAAATTATAAAAAAATCTGAGAGTCTCCGGAGACATCTTTTGAGCCCAGATTCTTGCTCAAGAGGTCCGAATTAGTAAAGGGAACAGTTTTCAGACAAATCGGAGTTAGTTTAAGAGAACTAGCTTGATATAAGCCTAAAATCGAAAATTTTCACAAAAAATTAAGTCAAGAAAAAAATTTTCCCAATCTGTTTGAAAATCACTCTCTTCACTAATTTAACCCTCTTGAACAAGAATCCGGGTTCAAGAGATGTGGAGGGGACTTCCAGATTTTTTTTTATTTTTTAACGATGCGACCCATACCAAAAAATCAAATGTCTATTTTGACGGCCCGTAAATCCGGAATGAGATGAGATACAACATTTCGGTTTTCACGGTTCGAATTCTTGGATTTTTTTAGTCCAGTTGGTTAATTTTCAAGCCGAATTCTACATTAGTTTGAAATCGACACACGAATATATTGGACGGTGCCGATTTTCGAAAGTGCCAGTTATTAAGAAATTTAAAAAAATCAGGAGTGTCCGGAGACATCTTTTGAGCCCAGATTCTTGCTCAAGAGGTCCGAGTTAGTAAAGGGAACAGTTTTCAGACAAATCGGAGTTAGTTTAAGAGAACTAGCTTGATATAGCCTAAATCCGAAAATTTTTGCAAAAAATTAAATCAAGAAAAACATTTTCCCAATCTGTTTGAAAATCACTCTCTTCATTAATTCAACCCTCGTGAACAAGAATCCGGGTTCGAGAGATGTTTCACGGACCTCCAGATTTTTTTTTTAATTTTTTAAGGAAGGGACCCATACCAAAAAACACAAATGTCAATTTTGACGGCCCGTAAATCCGGAACGAAATGAGATACAACATTCCGGTTTTCACCGTTCGATTTCTTGGATTTTTCTAGTCCAGTTGGTTGATTTTCAAGCCGAATTCTACAATAGTTTGGAATCAAGAGGCGGATATATCCGACGAGGTCATTTTTCGGAAGTGTCACTCGTTAAAAAATTAGAAAAAAAATCTGGGGCCTCCGGAGACCTGTCTTGAGACCATATTCTTGTTCAACAGGTCTGAATTAGTAAAGCGAACAATTTTCAGACAAATTGGAGTCAGTTTAAGGGAATCTGTTCTAAATCCAAAAATTTTCACTATCCAGAAAATTTAAGTCAAAAAAAAATTATCCCCATCTGTTTGAAAATCGCTCTTAATTCCAACCTCTTGAACAAGAATCCGGGTTCAAGAGATATTTCCGGGAGCTCCCGATTTTTTTTTTTATTATTTAACGATGAAAACCATACTGAAAAAACAAATTGTAATTTTGACGGCCCATAAATCCGGAAGGAGATGAGATACAACATTCCGGTTTTCACCATTCCAGTTCTTGAATCTTTTTAATTCAACTGGTTGATTTTCAAGCCGAATCCTACAATAGTTTGGAATCGACAGACAGATATATCCGATGATGTCGTTTTTCGGAAACGTCACTCGTTAAAAAATTAGGAAAATATCTGGAGCCCCCGGAAACATCTTTTGAGCCCAGATTCTTGATCAAGACGTCTGAATTAGTAAAGGGACCAATCTTTAGACAAATCGGGTTCAGTTTAAGAGAACTAGCTTGATCTGGTCTAAATCCGAAAATTTTTACAATCCAAAAAATTACAAAAAAAAAAAATTAAGTCAAAAAAAAATTCCAAATCTGTTTGAAAATCTCTCTCTTCACTAATTCAATCCTCCTGAACATGAATCCGAGGTTGAGACATGTTTCGGGGACCTCCCGATTTTTTTTTTATTTTTTAACATTGAGAGCCATACTAGAAAAATAAATGTCAATTTTGACGGCCCGTAAATCTGGAACGAAATAAGATACAACATTCCGGTTTTCACCGTTCGATTTCTTAGATTTTTCTAGTCCGGTTGGTTGATTTTCAAGCCGAATTCTACAATAGTTCGGAATCAAGAGGCGGATATATCCGACGGGGTCATTTTTCGGGAGTGTCACTCGTTAAAAAATTAGAAAAAAAAATCTGGGGCCTCCGGAGACCTGTCTTGAGCCCATATTCTTGTTCAATAGGTCTCAATTAGTAAAGGGAACTATTTTCAGACAAATCGGAGTCAGTTTAAGGGAATCTATTCTAAATCCAAAAATTTTCACAATCCAGAAAATTGCAAAAAAATTAAGTCAAAAAAAAATTATCCCCATCTGTTTGAAAATCGCTCTCTTAATTAATTCCAACCTCTTGAACAAGAATCCGGGTTCAAGAGATGTTTCCGGGAGCTCCCGATTTTTTTTTTAATTATTTAACGATGAAAACCATACTGAAAAAACAAATTGCAATTTTGACGGCCCATAAATCCGGAAGGATGTGATATACAACATTCCGGTTTTCACCATTCGAGTTCTTGGATCTTTTTAGTTCAATTGGTTGATTTTCAAGCCGAATCCTACAATAGTTTGGAATCGACAGATCGATATATCCGATGGTGTCGTTTTTCGGAAACATCAGTCGTTAAAAAATTAGGAAAATATCTGGAGCCCCCGGAAACATCTTTTGAGCCCAAATTCTTGATCAAGACGTCTGAATTAGTGAAGGGACCAATTTTTAGACAGATCGGGTTCAGTTTAAGAGAACTAGCTTGATCTGGTCTAAATCCGAAAATTTTCACAATCCAAAAAATTCGAAAAAAAATTTCCCAATCCTCTCTTCACTAATTCAAATCCTCCTAAACATGAATCCGAGGTTGAGACATGCTTCGGGGACCTCCCGATTTTTTTTTATTTTTTAACATTGAGAGCCATACTAGAAAAATAAATGTCAATTTTGACGGCCCGTAAATCCAGAACGAAATGAGATACAACATTCCGGTTTTCACCGTTCGATTTCTTAGATTTTTCTAGTCCGCTTGGTTGATTTTCAAGACGAATTCTGCAATAGTTTGGTCTGAATTAGTAAAGTGAACAATTTTCAGATAAATCGGAGTCAGTTTAAGGGAATCTGTTCTAAATCCAAAAATGTTTACAATCCAGAAAATTGCAAAAAAAATTAAGTCAAAAAAAGAGAGCTTTGCTTGCCCCTGAATTTTATTTTTTCTTTATGAAAATATATATGTTGAAAAAAACATCGAGGCGGATTCATAAACCACAAGTATACGTGTTCTTTGATAAAATCACTAGCATTTACAATGCAAAATTTTTAGGCGGCGATATTCCTAAAATACAAATAAAACTTTGTAATTGACTTCCATTTTGCTCAATAATTACGAAAGTATATATTAGTTATAATTGGCAATAAAAATGTTTACAATTTGTTTTAATTAGTTATTAATTAATTCAGTTTGTAACTGTAATGTAATTATAAAACAACTAAAATTCCCCTCAAAGGAAAAAAAGTTGAACCAAAAACAAACTGAAAAATCTTGTTTCAAATATTTTGTAAAATTTCACCGTCGGCGGGTTTTAATGTTTAAAAAATCCCCATCGGTTTTTTAAACGCTGGCGAAATTGACTCTCTAAGTTATGTCTAATAAAACCGACTCCATTAAGTGTTATCAAAACCAAACAAAAAACCTCTTACACTACACCCACACCTTTCAGTCCCACCTTTAAAACCACGTCACACTCCATAAAGCCCGCTCCGAAAAAGCGTGAACTAATTTAAATATTCCAAAAACGGCCAAGTTCCATCGCCAGCAACCTTGAATTGTAAAAGGATCTAAATTTTCTTCGCGATAAACTGTTACAAACGACACATGATGTCAGCACGTGTTAAAATTCACAAGATGATTAATGTCCCTCCTACATAAGCCATTTGCTCGGCCGCTTTTCCTCATGCAAATTCGGCCGTAAAAATAGAATGAGTCGATAAAACTGCAATAAAATAAAACACACACTTAATCAGATTGAACGATACACATCTTATCCATAACAAACCACTCGAACTTTGACCGAAACACGCCGATTAATCATCCGGTGACATTTTGAAAAATCCTGAAGTGACTTCCAGTCAATTAAAATGATCAAAGCTGCGTCCGCCCACTCTTTAGCGCCGTTGGCGATCCTTTTCGAAATTAATCGGTTCAACACACGCATAAAACGCTTTTTGTAAATAACGCAAGGACAAGAAATCCTTTCGCAAGTCATTGTTCGGTCATGGATCAAAGCCAGCAGCTGCTAATGACTTTGGCAAAGTTTGGCGACACGTCGAAGAGGAGGTTGAGTTTTTTGGCGCGAAAAACGCAAATCTCGAAATTACGAAGTACCACACCAAGGGACGATCCACCAGACGCAGTACCGAAGACCAACAACATCAAAGCGACCACCAGCGAATCGCGCCGAAGAAGTACCTATTCATTGTATCAACTATGCAAATCCGGGTCCAGTTACAAAAAAAAACATTTCCCCAGTGTGCACACACGACATGCCTGCTGTCACGTATTCTTTGCACTCGCTTACGTTATTACATCTAATCACTAAATTCGCGATTCTGATACTGCATGGCTGGCTTCAGTGCTAGCCGTCGGCTCCAGAACAGTGGTACTGCGGTACTGCACCCTTTTCACTCGTGCATTGCGATAGCGGGGGTCAAGTTCAGGCCACGCGACCCTGTAACAATGGATTCGGTGATAAGGGGATTTCTTTTTCCAGGCATGTGGTGGATCATGGTATCAGTGGCGGCTCTAGTGGGTGCAGCGGCGTCGGTGCCCTGCGAAGAAGCGCGGATGAGGTGCGCCTATAGGGTCGGATGCGGCATGGCCCTCCAGAACTACGTCGTGGGATGCTCGGGGGTGCTGCAAGGGCCGCCGCCGACGTACTGCCCCGAGATCTGCCACCACTCGCTCATCGCGCTCACGTCCACGGAGGAAGGGAAGGACCTGATGAATGTAAGTAGGGTAGTCCACAGGGCTCCGGTTTGATACCGATGCTGTTTTTGATTTCTGTAAGTTTTTGCTTGATGTTTAAATTTTAACACTAAAAGTACTACAAAAATGAAAAACAGTACTGAAATATGAATACATTCATCTAATTAAATTAGAGTAGTTGATAGATTCATCCACTCCAAAAAGTTCCACAAGCGTTACCAAGAAAGACAAACTTATCTTATTTTGCTGAAATTTTGAAAACACTTGCAATGTTGATGGTATCATTGTGCATATCAAAATAAGTACGTTAAAATTTTAAATAAGTGTTTTATCAGAACGATAAACAGTTTAAGAGGTGTAAAGAATTTAAGGACCATGGATGCTGTATGTAAGCACGTACACAATTTTTAGGACAATCTACACGACAATTAATTAGTAAAGGGAACAACTTCCAGACAAATCCGAGTCCGTTTAAGCGAGCTGTTTTGATATGATCTAAATCCGAATATTTTCACGATTCAAAACAATTAAGTCAAAAAAATTCTCACAATGTGTCTGAAAATTGCTCTTTTTACTAATTCGAACCTCCTGAGTAAGAATCCAGGTTCAAGAAATGTCTCCGGGACCCCAAGAATTTTTTTTTATTTTTTTTTTAAATCCGTTTGGAATTGACAGACTGATCTATCGGACGGTGTCGTTTTTCGGAAGTGCGGATCGTCAAAAAATTTAAAAATAATCTGGACGCCCCGAGGACATCGTTTGCGCCCGAATTCCTGTTGAAGACGTCCAAATTAATAAAGGGAATAATTTTCATACAAATCGGAGTCGGTTTAAAGAAAGTAATTTGACATGGTCAACACCCAAAAATTGTCACGATTCGAAAAAATTTAGTCAAGAAAAAAATTGACCCAATCTGTTTGAAAATTGTTTTTTGTAATTAATTAACACCTCCTGAGCAGGAATCCAGGTTCAAGAAATGTCTCCGGGACCCCAAGAATTTTTTTTTTAATTTTTTGACGACGACACCCATACTTAAAGAACAAATTTTAATTTTGACGCCCCATAAATCCGGAACGGGATGAGATACCGAATTCCGGTTTTCACCAACTACTTTTTTGAACTTTTTTAATTGAACTAGTTGATTTTCAAGCCAAATTTTAAATCCGTTTGGAATTGACAGACTGATCTATCGGACGGTGTCGTTTTTCGGAAGTGCGGATCGTCAAAAAATTTAAAAATAACCTAGACGCCCCGAGGACATCGTTTGCGCCCGGATTCCTGTTGAAGACGTCCAAATTAATAAAGGGAATAATTTTCATACAAATGGGAGTCAGTTTAAAGAAAGTAATTTGACATGGTCAAAATCCAAAAATTGTCACGATTCCAAAAAATTTAGTCAAAAAAAAAATTGCCCCAATCTGTTTGAAAATTGTTTTTTGTAATTAATTAACACCTCCTGAGCAGGAATCCACGTTCAAGAAATGTGTCCGGGACACCAAGAATTTTTTTTTTAATTTTTTGACGACGACACCCATACTTAAAAAACAAATTTTAATTTTGACGCCCCATAAATCCGGAACGGGATGAGATACCGGATTTCGGTTTTCACCAACTGCTTTTTTGAACTTTTTTATTTGAGCTAGTTGATTTTCAAGCCAAATTGTAAATCCGTTTGGAATTTACAGGCTGATCTATCGGACGGTGTCGTTTTTCGGAAGTGCGGATCGTCAAAAAATTTAAAAATAATCTAGACGCCCCGAGGACATCGTTTGAGCCCGGATTCCTGTTGAAGACGTCCAAATTAATGAAGGGAATAATTTTCATACAAATGGGGAGTCGGTTTAAAGAAAGTAATTTGACATGGTCAAAATCCAAAAATTTTCACGATTCCAAAAAATTTAGTCAAAAAAAAATTTGCCCCAATCTGTTTGAAAATTGTTTTTTGTAATTAATTCACACCTCTTGAGCAGGAATCCAGGTTCAAAAAATGTCTCCGGGACCCCAAGAATTGTTTTTAAATTTTTTGACGACACCCATACTTGAAAAACAAATTTTAATTTTGACGCCCCATAAATCCGGAACGGGATGAGATACCGGATTCCGGTTTCTACCAACTGCTTTTTGAACTTTTTTAATTGAACTATTTGATTTTCCAGCCAAATTTTAAATCCGTTTGGAATCGACAGACTCATCTATCGGACGGTGTCGTTTTTCGGAAGTGCGGATCGTCAAAAAATTTAAAAATAATCTAGACGCCCCGAGGACATCGTTTGCGCCCGGATTCCTGTTGAAGGCGTCCGAATTAATAAAGGGAATAATTTTCATACAAATCGGAGTCGGTTTAAAGAAAGTAATTTGACATGGCAAAATCCAAAAATTGTCACGATTCGAAAAAATTTAGTCAAAACAAAATTGCCCCAATCTGTTTGAAAATTGTGTTTTGTAATTAATTAACACCTCTTGAGCAGGAATCCAGGTTCAAGAAATGTCTCCGGGACCACAAGAATTTTTTTTTAATTTTTTGACGACACGCATACTCAAAAAACAAATTTTAACTTTGACGGCCCGTAGATCCTGAACGGAATGAGATACCGGATTCCGGTTTTCACCAACTGCTTTTTTGGACTTTTTTTGTTGGACTAGTTGATTTTCAAGCTAAATTTTAAATCCCTTTGAAATCTAGAGACCGATCTATCAGACGGCGTCGTTTTTCGGAAGTGTGGATCGTCAAAAAATTTTGAAACAATATGGAGGCCTGGAGGACATTTCTGAGCCTGGTTTCGTATTTAAGACGTCCGGTTTAATAATGGGAACAATTTTCATTCAAATCGGAGTCGGTTTAAAGAAGGTAACTTCACATGGTCAAAATCCAAAAATTGTCACGATTCGAAAAAACTAAGCCAAGAAAAAAATTGCCCCAATCTGCCTGAAAATTGTTTTTTGGTATTAATTAGAACCTCCTGAGCAAGAATCCGAGTTCAAGAAATGTCTCCGGGACCCCAAGAAATTTTTTTGATTTTTTTGACAACATACCCATACTCAAAAAACAAATTTTAACTTTGACGGCCCGTAGATCCTGAACGGAATGAGATACCGGATTCCGGTTTTCACCAGTTGCTTTTTTGGTCTTTTTTTGTTGGACTAGTTGATTTTCAAGCCAAATTTTAAATCCGTTTGGAATTGAGAGACCGATCTATCAGACGGTGTCGTTTTTTGGAAGTACAGATAGTCAAAAAATTTAAAAACAATCTAGAGGCCTTGGGGACATCGTTTGAGCCCGGATTCCTGTTTAGGACATGGTCAAAATCCAAAAAAATTGTGATTCGAAAAAATTAAGTCAAGAAAAAAATTGCGCCAATTTGTCTGAAAATTGTTTTTTGGTATAATTAGAACCTCCTGAGCAAGAATTCGGGTTCAAGAAATATCACCGGGACCCCAAGAAATTTTTTTGAATTATTTTGACGACAGTCATACTCAAAAAACAAATTTAAACTTTGACGGCCCGTAGATCCGGAACGGGAGGAGATACCGAATTGCGGTTTTCACCACTTGGTTTTTAGACTTTTTTTAGTTGAACTAGTTAATTTTCAAGCCAAATTCTAAATCCGTTTGGAATTGACAGACTGATCTATCAGACGGTGTCGTTTTTCGGAAGTGTAGATTGTCAAAAAATTTTAAAACGATATAGGGGCATGGAGGACATTTCTTGAGCCCGGATTCTTATGTAAGACGTCCGGTTTAATAAAGGGAACAATTTTCATACAAATCGGAGTCGGTTTAAAGAAGGTAACTTCACATGGTCAAAATCCAAAAATTGTCACGATTCGAAAAAACTAAGTCAAGAAAAAAATTGCACCAATCTGCCTGAAAATTGTTTTTTGGTATTAATTAGAACCTCCTAAGCAAGAATCCGGGTTCAAGAAATGTCTCCGAGACCCCAAGAAATTTTTTTGATTTTTTTGACAACACCCATACTCAAAAAACAAATTTTATTTTTGACGGGCCGTAGATCCGGAACGGGATGAGATACCGGATTCCGGTTTTCGCCATCTGCTTTTTTGGACTTTTTTTGTAGGACTAGTTGATTTTCAAGCTAAATTTTAAATCCGTTTGCAATCTAGAGACCGATCTATCAGACGGTGTCGTTTTTTGGAAATGTGTGGATCGTCAAAAAATTTAAAAACAATCTAGAAGCCTTGGGGACATCGTTTGAGCCCGGAGTCCTGTTTAAGACGTCCAAATTCATAAAGTGAACAATTTTTAGACAAATCGGAGTCGGTTTAAGGAAGCTAATTTGACATAGTCAAAATCCGAAAATTGTCACGATTCGAAAAAATTAAATCAAGACAAAAATTCTTCCGATTTGTCTGAAAATTGCTCTCTTTACTAATTCGGACATCCTGAGCAAGAATCCAGTTTCCAAAAATGTCTCCGGGACCCCAAGAAATGTTTTTGAATTTTTTTAACGACGACACCCATACTCAAAAAACAAATTTTAACTTTGACGCCTCCTAGATCCGGAACGGAATGAGATACCGGATTCCGGTTTTCACCAATCGGTTTTTTGGGCATTTTTAGTAGAGTTGGTCGATTTTCAGGCCGAATTCTGCATCAGTTTGGAATTGACAGACGGATATATCCAACGATATTGTTTTTCGGAAGTGTCGATCGCTAAAATTTTTTTAAAAATCTCGAGATACTTTCTGACCCTCACTTTTTATTCAAGAGGTTAGAATTCGTAAAAGGATCAATTTTCAGACAAATCGGAGTCCTGTTAAGCGAACTGACTTGACATTGTCTAAATCCGAAATTTTTCGTGATTCGAAAAAATTCAGTCAAAACAAAAATTCTTTCAATTGGTCTGAAAATTGCTATCTTTGCTAATTCGAATCTCCTGAATAAGAATCCGGGTTCGAGATGTGTCCAAGACTCCAAGAAGTTTTTTTTTTATTTTTTAACAACCACACTTAATACTCAAAAAACAAACTTCAACTTTAATGGCCCGTAAATCCGGAATGGGTTGAGATACCGGATTCGGTCGTCACCAATCGTTTTTTTGGACTTTTTTAGTCGTGTTGGTTGATTTTCAGGCCGAATTCTGCATCTGTTTGGAATTGACAGACGAATGTATCCAACGATGCTGTTTCTTGGAAGTGTCGATCGCTAAAAAATTTTAAAAAAATCTGGAGATATCTTTTGGCCCGGATTCTTATTCAAGACCTTCAAATTAGTAAACAGAACAATTTTCAGACAAATCGGAGTCATTTTAAGCGATCTAGCTTGATACAGTCTCAATCCGAAATGTTTCGTGATTCGAAAAAATTCAGTCAAAACAAAAATTCTTTCAATTGGTCTGAAAATTGCTCTCTTTGTTAATTCGAATCTCCTGAACAAGAATCCGGGTTCGAGATATGTGTCCAAGACTCCAAGAATTTTTTTTTAATTTTTTAACAACGACACTTAATACTCAAAAAACAAAGTTCAACTTTGACGGTCCCGAGATCCGGAACGGGATAAAATACCGGATTTTGGTCTTCACCAATCGGTTTTTTGGACTTTTTTAGTCCAGTTGGTTGATTTTCAGGCCAAATTCTGCATCCGCTTGGAATTGACCGACGAATTTATCCAACGATGCTGTTTTTCGGAAGTGTCGATCGCTAAAAAATAAAAAAAATCTGGAGATATCTTTTGGCCCGGATTCTTATTCAAGACGTTCAAATTATTAAAAAGAACCATTTTCAGATAAACCGGAGTTCTTTTAACCGAACTGGCTTGATATGGTCTAAACCCGATTTTTTTTTTTGATTCGAAAAACTTAAGTCAATAAAGAAATTCTCCCAATCTGCCTGAAAATTGGTCTTTTTATTAATTCGAACCTCCTGAAGAAGAATCCGGGTTCCAGAATTTTTTCTTGAAGTTTTTAACGACACCCGTACTCAAAATTTTGACAATCTCCTGAATAGAATCAAAAATACGAAATTTGCAAAATGATATTTCAATATGACGTCATAATATTTTGGAAGGGATGATCTTGAACAGCGTTCCGTATTATGTCATGACTTTGAAAGAAGCTAGAGATCAAACCATGTTTGTATAGTGTTCTTTTTTGGTAATAATAATAAATCAATCGGTTACAATATTAGTGTAAAATTTGACACTACATTGCAAGATTATTTTATTTCAAGAATATTCTTTCCCTATAAAAACTATGTTTGATCCTTTCTCTTCCAACATTACAAGGCACATTTACGAAATGCTGCAAATTACAAGAACAATCAAGTTTTTAAGTGGTATTGGGAAATTTGCACAATGACAAGAACTTCCAAATATTGACACGAAAATTTCAAAACCACGAATTACACAATTTTTGTAAAAAATGTACGACAGGTACTGTAAGCAATAATTTTGACAGTGAAAAAATAAATAAAAGCAACGGAAATCTCCCATTCAGGACTCCAACGTAACGCCAAACAATAAACAAACAGTTTACAGTTAAGCCAAAGCTATTGACATGCTTTTATGGAAATCAATTTTTATCGACGGTGCGTCATTCACTCCTCGAGAATATTCATGAATGGGTGTTAAATTGCGATGAAATTTATCTGGCGGATAATTTAGCAGACGTGCCAGCTAAGTAACGATTAATTCTCGCTTAACAATTTAATACCTCTGAATCCCGTTTGTTGACTTAATACACAAATACGACAATTGTTAATTGCTTAAACCTTGTCTAAATACTAAGATAAAAAATTCGGCGACCGTAGAAAAAATCCCGTGTGCACCTCAATCACAACCGCTTCTTCACTCTTCTTTCTTTCCAGTGCAACTGCAGCGACGAGTACTGCGAGGACCAAAAACTCCGCTCCGAGATCTGCCGCCCCCAGGTGATTAAGACCATCAACGAGTCCGTCGTATCCTGCCGCGTGGCCCAGTGGATCTGCGCCGCCGACGCCCTCTGCTCCACCGCCCTCGAGTACTACAACCACTACTGCCGCGCCATGTTCCACGGCAAAAAGTGCAGCCCCCGCTGCAAGAACTCCATCAACATCCTGCGGCGGCAGGAGAAAGCCGCCAAGCTGACCACGTGCCTGTGTGACGGCCTGGAGGACTACGACTGCCAGGCCATCCAGCGCAACATGGACCGGCTGTGCTTCCACAAGCACCACCACCCGAACGCCACCCAGCGCGCCACGCCGCCGCCGCCACCGCCGCCCGAGCCCGCGGCCGCCGCGCCCGCGCCCACGCTCGCGCTGGCCGCCGCCGTCGCCCTGGCGGCGCTCTTCGTCACGTGATGCCGTCGCGGCTGCCACCTCCGAATCTACCTCGTTAACAGTATTTATTTATTGCGTATTACGGCACCAAAGTAGCTGACGATTGCTATGTCACGTTATAGTTCCTATGTTGAAGACATGCCGGCGGATCAGACACGCAGTGTACATTGTGTATAGGATGTAGAGGTCGTCTGTATAGGAGGATGTAGTCCAGGATTTTGTAAAAGTTAAGCTTTAAGTTAGGGTAAGCATTCCTGAGGGAGACGAGTCAGGGAGGTCCGTCGAGTTTACCAAAGAAGAGCTTGGGCTGTATATTGCTTTAAGTTATTGAGAGTTGCTTTATACACGCTGGCACTTCTTGTTGGACTGGAGGGTCAAGCAGTGGGCGACTAGAGGGCTTTCGGGCTCGATGGTCGCACCATGTTTAGTTCAAATGGCGGCACAAGCAGCAAACAGTGCGACTCCTAACCCCACTTTTTGTGAAGTCCATACACTTATTTCCCACCAACCGCATCTCGCGGGGCTAATCACGTGAGACAATTAGCCCCTCCTTGTAGCTGGACGGCCAATGAACTCCGTCGTGGCTCACTACGTCGAAAAATTAACCAAAATCCAGTCACCTGTCAAAGCAGCTGAACCGGAGTTCCACTGACAAAGCCCGCGAAAACTCGTCCCGACGATCACATCCGGCTAATTCGCTAATTAATTAATTAATTAGCAGTACCATGTGTGATCTTCCAAGCAGCGAAACATAATAAATGAGCAGCAACTGTCGGATGAATTAGCGTCCGTGCGGTTGGCAGCGCTGCTTAATTTGACGCGCCGCTGTGGCCCTTAATTAATGTGTCTCTAGTGCCAAAATCCCGACTCCTTTGATCTGTCGCTCTGTTTGCGTGCCTGTCGCGCCGTCCGTCTTGTATTAATTTATGAATCTGTATAAATTGTTAAGAGATATTGTATAGAATTTATTTATGCGTGTTGTTCAGGGGTGTGCGGCCCCCGCATGTACAAAAATGAAAATAAACGTATTGTTTGTTATCCAGAGGCAGCGTTGCTTCCTTTTTTTACCATAATTGATTTATCTATTATGTATTTTAATCTCCGGCGGGCCGTGTAAGAGCGTCCACGGTGGTCCAAGGCTAATTAAGGTGGGCATTATGCACGGAGGAAAGTATAAGCTTAGAGGACGATCAACTCGGGATTCATAACAGGAAATCGGACCGAGGCGTAATCCGGAGGTAATCGTTTGGATGTGTGGTTTTTTGCGGCGAGGTAATGAGTGTGGAGGAGCGACCAGGCGGAAATTTCGGTGTGGGTTTATTGATAAATCGTCGTCTAATGACAAGATTTTTATTGGCTATAAAAGGTGCGTTAAATTTTAGAAAATCGTGGAGGAGCGAGGTGAATGAAAATGTTGCTTTTATGGCAGTTCCGGCGGGTTTAGCATAACTTTATAAATGTAATTAAATTGTATCTAAATGTCAAAAAGTTGTAAAAGTCACTAGTAGAGAGGATTATTTATAGCTAATAATTTTGTGGAGATTGCGCTACGTCGCGAACGAGGCACTTAGCATGGGCTACTGGGTGGTAATTTTTTATTTCAATGGTATAAAACAAAAATAATCTAGTGGCAGTGGGCATAAAATGGTAGCAATGTGCAAATATCATAAATTTTAGAAATTAAATGTCAGGTAATCTAGGCACAGTTACTTCTAGTTATTGTTTGCGCCTAAACTGCCGATTACACAGCTGTCGGTTTGTCCAGCCGGCTGGGAAACAATGATCAAGTAGGCGGGGTTTTCGTTATATAATTTCATCGAATTTTGAAATTTTTAATTTTTATGTGAAGTGAAACTATGGATCATTGACCATTTGGAACTATCGAACTGTGAAAATATAATTTTTTTCATTAGTAAGCAACTGTCTGGAATTATATTTCTCTTAAAAATCATAAAAAAAAAATTATTGACTTAATCAACTTTCCGAGAAGGATGATTAATCCCTAATTTGTAAATAATTGTTAACAAAATTTCGAAAAAGCCCTTTAACTAGACTCTAAGACACATTGTAAATTGGAGAGAAAATGTGGCCCTCTATATTTTAATTAGTTTTTTAACTGTTTTTGAAATTTGGGCGGGACGTAGAAACAAATTTTGGATTGCGTGATTATGCAGTAGAATAATTTTTTCCTCCACTCTGACTTAAGTTTTAAAGTAAAAATCTTATCTTATCAAATATTTTTTAAAATAATATCCAGTCAGTTTTGCTTATCTAGATGTCAAGGAAAAATAAATACAAGATTTTTGGTAATTCCAGTTATCCGATTTTTCCTTGCTAAAGTTTGAAATCTAATAAAACTGCAAAATTAATTATAGATATACAATGATTCTATAATGACGTATTATTCACATAACCTCAAAAATAGTCATAGATTAGGAACCTCGTGAATATCTCTGTGCAAAGTTTCTAAAAAGTGTGGAACTTAAAAAATGCTAAAAAAATCGGCATCACAATATGTAATTTTGTTAAGACAGGGGTTAGTGCTGACTCCTTTGTTATTCCTGTTGTTTAATAATGATCTGTTGCTTACAAATCCTGAGCATTATATTGTTTTTATGTCTATCAAATTACGGTTTATGGGAGGAATTTGGATCCAAGTTCAAAGAATAAATACGAGAAAATTGATAATTAAATCTAAATTACTCAAGTCAATTTTCGAAACACTTAATAATTTATCAAGTTTGGATTGTTAATTGTTTTCTCCATTGTGACAATTTTTAAAATAAAAAAAAGTCGAAAGATTTGACAAGTGATTAGATAACGTAGTATTGTTTGTCACTTCTTATCAAATATTTTTTTAAATAATGTCCATTGTGACATTTAAATCAAAAAAAGTCGAAAGGTTTGACACTTCACCAGATAACGAATGTTAATTGTTACTTCTTATCAAGTATTTTTTCAAATAATTCCAATTATTCCTGTTTATCTAGATGCTAGAAAAAATAAGTGCACAAATTTCTAGTAATTCAGACAGTTGTCCGATTTTTCCTCTCGCTAAGTCTTGGCGATCAATTGGTTAGAAATCCTGAACGAGATATTGTTTTTATGTCTGTTTATAGGACAAATTTGGACCCAAATTTAAAAAATTAAACAATAATATTTTGCTACAAAAAAATACAAAAAATAATATATATATGTATATATATTTTTCTTAATACACGTAGCCATCTTTTCACAATAAGAAACTTAAAACATGGTTAAAATGCAATTATTGGGCAAAATCGATTTTCCTTATACAAATTTTCCATTCTAAACATGTTTTAAATTTCATGTTGTGAAAAGAAGTCTACACATGTTAAAAACAAAAACGCAAAATGTTAAACCCACCCACCCGCCCTATCTCAATTGTTACGATTTTTTTCATTCGCCGTGAACCAAAGGGGCGGAGCTTAACTGCAAAGTACTTATTTCTTTACTACAAATTAAAAACATATTTTTGAGTATCGTGATGTTCAAGGCATACTATGTATATTAAAAAAAAATCCAAACTATAAACCCCGCCCACCCACCCTATTTCAATTGTGATGATTTTTGTTATTCTTAGAAACCCAAACATGCATTACATGGTAATTTCTTGTAGAGAAAAAACAAAGATTTTGCAATTAAATTCCGCTCCTTTGACTCTCGACGATTAAAAAAAAAAATTCATTTTGCCTTTTTTTTTAAATATACGTAGTCGTCTTCTCAGTACAAGAAACTTAAAAGATGTTTAAAATGTTCTTGTAGACAAATGTCGACTTTGCAATTAAGCCCCGCCTCGCGATCTGACAACGAATGAAAAATTCATCACAATGAAAACCGAGATCGGGGCGGGTATGGGTGGGGCCTAATCTTTGGCTTTATTTTTTCTCAACATACATAGTGTTCTTTGAATGACACGACACTCAAAAACCTGTTTTTAATTTCTGGTAGAGAAGTAAGGATTTTGCAGTTAAGCTCCGCCCTCTTTATTTCAGGACGAATAAAAAAATCATCACAAATGAGATTGAACGGGTGGGCGGGGCTATATTTTGCTTTGTTTTGTTAATATGTGTAGACTTATTTCGACAACAGGAAACTTAAAACCTGTTTTTAAAGTCTCGTAGAGAAGTGAGGATTTTGCAGTTAAGCTCCGCCCTCTTGGTTCACGACGAATAAAAAAAATCATCACAATTGAGATTGGGCGGGTGGGTGGGGCTACATTTTGCCTTCTTTGTTAATATGTGTAGATTTATTTTGACAACAAAAAACTTAAAACCTTTTTTTAATTTCTCGTAGATAAGTAAGGATTTTTCACCTTAACTCCGCCCTCTTGGTTTACGACCAATAAAAAAATCATCACAATTGAGATTGGGCGGGTGGGTGGGGCTACATTTTGCCTTGTTTTGCTAATATGTGTAGACTTATTTCGACAACAAGAAACTTAAAACCTGTTTTTAATTTCTCGTAGATAAGTAAGGATTGTTCACATTAACTCCGCCCTCTTGGTTTACGACCAATAAAAAAATCATCACAATTGAGATTGGGCGGGTGGGTGGGGCTACATTTTGCCTTGTTTTGCTAATATGTGTAGACTTATTTCGACAATAAGAAACTTAAAACCTGTTTTTAATTTCTTGTAGATAAGTAAGGATTTTGCAGTTAAACTCCGCCCTCTTAGTACACGACGAATAAAAAAATCATCACAATTGAGATTGGGTAGGTGGGTGGGGCTACATATTGCCTTGTTTTGCTAATATGTGTAGACTTATTTCTACAATAAAAAACTTAAAACCTGTTTTTAATTTCTTGTAGATAAGTAAGGATTTTGCAGTTAAACTCCGCCCTCTTGGTTTACGACCAATAAAAAAATCATCACAATTGAGATTGGGTGGGTGGGTGGGGCTACATTTTGCCTTATTTTGTTAATATGTGTAGACTTATTTTGACAACAAGAAACTTAAAACCTTTTTTTACTTTCTCGTAGAGAAGTAAGGATTTTGCAGTTCAGCTCCGCCCTCTTGGTTTACGACGAATAAAAAAATCATCACAACTGAGATTGGGTGGGTGGGTGGGGCTACATTTTGCCTTGTTTTGTTAATATGTGTAGGCTTATTTCTACAACAAGAAACTTAAAACCTCTTTTTAATTTCTTGTAGAGAAGTAAGGATTTTGCAGTTAAGCTCCGCCCTCTTGGTTTACGACCAATAAAAAAATCATCACAATTGAGATTGGGTGGGTGGGTGGGGCTACATTTTGCCTTATTTTGTTAATATGTGTAGACTTATTTTGACAACAAGAAACTTAAAACCTTTTTTTACTTTCTCGTAGAGAAGTAAGGATTTTGCAGTTCAGCTCCGCCCTCTTGGTTTACGACGAATAAAAAAATCATCACAACTGAGATTGGGTGGGTGGGTGGGGCTACATTTTGCCTTGTTTTGTTAATATGTGTAGGCTTATTTCTACAACAAGAAACTTAAAACCTCTTTTTAATTTCTTGTAGAGAAGTAAGGATTTTGCAGTTAAGCTCCGCCCTCTTGGTTTACGACGAATAAAATATCATCACAATTGAGATTGGGTGGGTGGGTGGGGCTACATTTTGCCTTGTTTTGTTAATATGTGTAGGCTTATTTCGACAACAAGAAACTTAAAACCTGTTTTTAATTTCTTGTAGATAAGTAAGGATTTTGCAGTTAAACTCCGCCCTCTTAGTACACGACGAATAAAAAAATCAACACGATTGAGATTGGGTGGGTGGGTGGGGCTACATTTTGCCTTGTTTTGTTAATATGTGTAGGCTTATTTCGACAACAAGAAACTTAAAACCTCTTTTTAATTTCTTGTAGAGAAGTAAGGATTTTGCAGTTAAGCTCCGCCCTCTTGGTTTACGACGAATAAAAAAATCATCACAATTGAGATAGGGTGGGTGGGCGGGGCATATATTTTGCCTTGTTTTCTTAATATGTGTAGACTTATTTCGCCACCAAGAAACTTAAAAGATGTCTAAAATGGTAATTAACTTAAAT